TTTCCCTGGTTTGAACTGTTTAATTATATTTCTGATCTCTGAGCATGAGACCGGGGGCCAATAGGGAAGAGAGGGCACATCCAACTCCAAATCTGCTAGGAAATTCTCCACTTGACCATATAAAGTGACAAAATGGCTGTTGTCTGTGGCGAAGAGCTCTAAATATTGTTAGAAAAAGATGGGGCTACCAACCTCTAGAAGATGGCAGGGTGTTTTTCATCGGCAGCTGCTATCAAGCGTTGGCAGGATACCCTCATAGCATTCCTTTATTTTCTATCTGGAGCAGCACAGCAACTCCATTCCACTACTACAGCTGGAGAGAGGTCTGGGAATTCTCCTTTGCAGACATTCACCCAACTGATTCCGTTACTCCAGCCAGTGCTCTCTACCCAGATATCAAGGAAGAGGAACAAACAAGGGGCAGGATTTATCCCTCTCAGCCCTGGTTTGATACAGAATGTTTTGAAGCCAAGAGTAAACTGATCAGGGAATTTAAGTTATATAAAGAGAACCCAGCTGAGCACTCCATCCAAGATTTTATGCTCCTGAAGAAACCGCACAAACATCTTTTACAAAACAAGGAAAGAGAATTCACTAGGGCTTCCTGGCAGCAATTGATCACAGCATCTCAAGCCAGAAACCCAACTCTATTCCGGCACCTGATAGCTTTCCATCCAATTGACAGGCCCCTTTCACTTCCTCACCTTTTACCTACATCTGTGTGGGAGGACCACTTTAGAGCATTATATTCGCAAGAAGAGGCTCCTAAATTTGACTTAGATATTAATAGTAACCTACTGTACTCCCTAACTTGGCTCCAGTCAAAAGTGCTGAAATAAAGGTGCTCATAACTCAGCTAAAGCCTGGTAAAGCTCCAGGCAATGACTTTATTGCACCAAAATACTACACAAACATTTGTAATGTTGGATCCCTGTTCTTGCTTCCCTGTTTACTTACATCAGTCGCACTGTGCAAATTCCAGGGGACTGGGGCCTAGCCATTATCGTGCCCATCTACAAAAAGGGCTCCCGAGAACTGGCTGCTAATTATAGGCCTATTAGCCTGTTAAGTGTAATAAGGAAGCTCTATGCCAGACACTTATAGAACAAATTAGTTGATTGGATTGATTTACTGTATATATTGGCAGATGACCAAGCAGGCTTCAGGTCCGGACATTCTATCTATGGACATGCCCTCATACTTTAAGATCTGGCCGAAAAACATATATCTAAAACAGGCTCAACACTATATACAGCATTCATTGATTTTAGGTCTGCATTTGATCTAGTTTCCAGAGCAAGGTTTGGACCAAGCTCCTGCACAGCACCATTGATGGACGGTAACTATTGCTTATGCACAATCTCTGTAAGAACTCTAGAATCAACGTTCGATGCCATATGCAAGGCCACCACACTAGTGAGATTCCAACTCACAGACCAGTGAGGCAGGGATGTATTTTAGCTCCTCTGCTGTTTAATCTCTATAGAAATCCACCTGAGACCAAAATAAATCAATTAGGACATCACCCTCCAAAACTAGCAAACAGACATATAGCAACTTTGTTGTATGCAGAAGACATAGTACTCCTTTCACAAATGCTGACTGGACTTAAACGAGCCCTGAATGCTCTGGCCAGTTACTGCTCTGAGGAAGCACTTGAAATCAACTTTAACAGAACTAAGATCTTGATCTTTTCAAAGAGACCTAAACTGCATGCCTGGGGGATAAATGACCAGAATACTGAACAAGTGAAATCCTTTAAATATTTGGGCATGGTTTTCCATAGCTAAACTAAACACAATGTACACCAAAACTATGCGATACAAAATGCTCAATAAACAGTGGCCACAGTTCAATCCTTTCATTTTACCAGAGGAGCACAGCATATCTCAGCAGCACTGAAGCTATATTCAGCTAAGGCTTGTGATCAACTACTCTTCGGTGCCCAGCTAAGACCTTACCCCTCCTTCACTCCACTGGAAAGGGTTCAGTCCAAATTCCTAAGGGCTGTATTCCAGGTAGCTCCCTGCGTTCCAGATGTTGTATTAAGGAGGGAGGCAGAGTTGCCTAAAGTCGAAACAGGGGCATGGACTTGTGTTATAGCACGTTGGCTGAAATTACTGTTTTTTCCACCGGTTTTAGTTTTTTTCTTTTTTTGGGCAATTATTAATTA